CACTGAATGCAGACAGCTAACTGAAATTTATGTGTGCGTGTGTCTATGTGTATTTTTGGAGTCAGAGTCTCACTCTGTTGCCCAGGCTGGAGTGCAGTGGCACACTCACGGCCACCACAGCCTCGACCTGCTGGGCTTGAGCAATCCTCCCACCTCAGCCTTCCAAGTAGCCAGAACTACAGGTGCATGCTACCACGCCCGGCTAATTTTTTGTTTTATTGTAGAAATGAGGTCTCACCATGTTGTCCAGGCCGGTCTCAAACCCCTGGGTTCAGGCAATCCTCTCACCTTCACCTCCCAAAGTGCTGGGATAACAGGCGTGAGCCACCGCACCTGGCCTAACTGAAACTTAAAAGAGAAACACAGGAGATTTCCCTCAAGGTCAAGGTAAAAATATTAAAAATGCAAACACACATGCCAAGAAAACAGGTGTCAGGAGAGACTACAAGGTAGGAGCTTGAAAGACTAAAACAAAAGATATATGTTTAAAGAATAAAAAGGAAGAGAAAGCAAACGTAACAAGAGAGCAAATAAAATTGCCCTAATTCGACAGAAATGGGCAGGAGAAAGGGCGGAACAACTGAGCTGGAGACCCAGGCCCATGCGCGCCACCAGGAGTGACCACTAGTGATGATGGGTAAGCATGCCCAGACTGGTTTACGGTCAAGTTTGCATTTCACATTGGAGTCACGGGGGTGGTAGGTTTCTTACATAGGAAAATGCCTCAAGATGATGGGAACGACTGAAGGGAACCACTGAAGATTAACAGCTAGAAGCACTGAGGCTCCACTTAGAATTACACCTATCCAGCCGGGCGTGGTGGCTCATGCCTATAATCCCAGCACTATGGGAGGCTGAGGCAGGAGGAGTGCCTGAGCCCAGGGGTTCAAGACGAGTCTAGGCAACCTGGCAAGACCTCGTCTCTACAATAAGTTAAAAAAACAAACAACTAGCCGGGCATGGTGGCACACGCCTGTAGATTCAGCTACTTGGAAGGCTGAGGCAGAAGGATTGCCTGAGCCCACCAGGTTGAGGCTGCGGAGGCCGTGAGCATGCCACTATACTTCAGCCTGGCGACAGAGTAAGACTCCAACACACACACACACAAATTTCACCTATCCATTCCTGAGCTTGAGTTAGAGTCTTTGGAAATGCCAAGTGGTGACTCTTCCTAAATTACCTGGGGCGAAAGCAATATCCTTCAGAGACTGGCTCTCATAGCACAGCCTGCTCCCCACCTGCACTCGTGGCTGGGAAGAAAGCCTGCACTTGAAGGGAGAGTTCAATGTTGCCTCTGGTTGGGGAGAGGGAAAGGAGACCACAGTGGGTCCTGAAGTTTAGGACAGAGAGGAGATGTCCTTTTCAGGGCATCTCTCTAAAAAGGCACACATCGACTGCTGATATGACGCTGATAGCTGTTGACCGAAATCAGTTCATTCTATTGTGTGATGAGATCACCAGTTAGAGATGTCAGGCAGTTACATTAGCTATGATGATTGCTGAAACAAGATGATTTAAAGAATGGAATGTGACCTGACATCCTCCTGTAAGTGGCTTCGAAAGTTAGGTGCAAAGTATTTCAAGGTTTGACTTTCAAGCAGAATCAACACATTTTTAAGCTACAGGAGACAGGTTATCAGGATCCTTGAGTCTGCAAAGAACTTCTAGCACCAAGTGGAAGGGGCAAAAACGTGCAGGTGTGTACATCTAAGTTCATGGTGAGATTGCAGAGGGAGACAGGGGAACGGCTGCTTCTTGACAAAGTCCCTGTAGTCTGATATTGTGATGGTAATTATCTACGCACATTATTAAAATATGTAGGCAGTCTTTTGTCAGAGAACATGCTTGACATTGATATAGGGAATAAAAACAGACACAATGACCTGAAGACATCCATTCATGTTGGCTTGTGCTATTTTAAAACGCACAAATGTGCATTTGCTGAGAAAGATTTGTTCACCCAGCTCAGGAAAGAGCCAAAGTTCAGAGCCAAAGGCCTAGCAGGAATTCCCGGCTCTACCACTCATGGTCTTGAGTGAGTTGACGTTTCTGAACTTGTGTCTTCTGTGGTAACAAGAGGGTTTATTCTACAAGCAAGTATTTTTGATTGTTTACCATGAGCGTGCGCAGGGCTGTGAGGACAGACAGGACACGACCCGGGCTCCCCAGAAGCTTCTGTGCCTGGGTGGATGGTGGTGACGCTGCCATCACAGGAGTATTGAGACGACCAGAAGAGTTCAAGTGCTAGCCGAACAGCAGGTGTTGTGCAATGGCTATCAATGCAGCTAATGGACATAGTGATTCATGGTTTGCCAATGGCAAGATTCCTGTGAATAAAGACAGCTGGAGACACAGCAAACAGGTTCCGTGGCTCAACAGGACCTCACAGTCCTGTCGTCCCAGTTCCTTCCTTTAGATGTCCTGGATTGGTTTATTCACAGCCCCTCCCAAGTCTGTCCCAAACAGGGATTTACGGCTTCCACAGGCCTGCTCAGTCAGCCACAAGGACCACGTGCACCTCGTGACACAGAAGCTCACACGACATGCGCTGCTTTCAGGCTCACCCACTTACAGTGGAACTGGGAGGTGAGGCCGACACTCCCTTCTGCCCCTCAATCCCGGCTGCCTCTGTTGTCCAGAGACCAAGAGCCACTCCTTCAACACTGACTGACACTTGCTGACACACAGGGCTTACGGCAGTCCATTGGGGTGAAGTTGCACTTGGTGCCCTGACGTGTCCACTGCTGTCCTCTTGTCTGCTGTGCCTTCGTGGTGCCCTTAGGCCATTTGTCAACCAGCTCAGCTCACAGATGGTCACTAGAACTTGGATGGGTGCACTGACACCAGCGTGGCAGACTGCTTCCAGAGGGTACTTCTTTTTTTTTCGGGGGGAGGCATCAGAGTCTCACTCTGTCACCAAGTCTGGAGTGCAGAGTCACACTCATGGCCAACTGCAGCCTTGACATGATGGGCTCAGGTGATCCTTCCACCATAGCCTCCCAAGTAGCTGGAACCACAGGTGTATGCCACCATGCCTGGCTAATTTCATTTTTAATTTTATTTACTGTAGAGATGAGGTCTTGCCACGTTGCCCAGGCTGGTCTTGAACCCTGGGACTCAGGCAATCCTCTCGCCTCTCTCTCCCAAAGGGCTGGGATGACAGGTGTGAGCCATCACACCCAGCCAGAGCGTACTTCTTAAATCAACATTGTATTTTTTTGGTCTAGGGCATTTTGTTTTTTTCTCCATTTTTATAAAATAATGCAAGCCTCAGAGAGCATGCAATTCCACATACGTAAGCCTTGTACACTCAGAACATGGGAGAGACATGTTTGTTAATCAGGAAGCTGAACTACACGCGAGCAGAGAACAGCTCCAGCCAGGCACAGCACACAGAGTCATTCTGAAGCCAACCTGAAGGGACTGCGTACCAGGGCAGGATTCTCTTTTGCAGACCTAGAAGCAACACGTATAATGAAACCCAAAGCCGGCAATGCCCACTGTGATACCTCTGGACGTGTGTGAGTGGCTTTATGCCACATAGTCCAAGCCACAGGACGTGGCTGGTGCTGCCTTCATCAACATCCTCAAGAAGGGAAGGAGCACAGCTAGCCGAGGACCATGGGTGAACATGCCTGTGCAGACAAGTCCGACTGACCCTGTGCGTATGCAGCACAGTGCTGATGGGTGATTCCGATTTTGGATGGTGATTTTGACTATTGGATATTTTCACTTTCCTCCACTTTCAAAGCTAAGCTGCAGCTTGACTGCATTAAAAAACCACCTGGTTTCATTTGCAAAAATGTGGTCCTTACTGCAATAAGAAGTAACACGCAGCAGGGAAGGCAAACAGTACTTACTAAAAGGATAAGTGGCATAACAGCAGGAAGAGAATCCATCCACGCCTAGAAGGACACAACGCAATCCTGTAGCTGAATGACCCACGAGGGGCCCACGTGTCTGCAGCCAAGGGTCTCCTGGACACTCGGGAAGAGCGCGGTCTGAAGCCAGGAAGCCGCTAGTGATGTGAACGCGCCTACTGCAGTCTAGTTCTCACAGACCAAGGCCCAGGTGCTTCAAGAACCACTGGTCCTCACTGCCCCAACCACCAGGAACACCCGTTTCGTGATCACCATCCAAACCTAGCACTTCACGTCAGGTCCGTGAAGTGGAAACCAAAACCTCTTCTGAGGCAGGGGTCTTGGAGGGTGGGGTCTCAGAGGATGGGGCCCCAGAGGACAGGGGTCTTGGAGGACAGTCTCGGAGGACGAGGGCCTTGGAGGGAGGGGGCCCAGGAGGACGGGGGTCCCAGAGGAGAGTCTATAAGACTAATACTTTGCAAATAGTGCATCCTTGATTTTCTTTCCCAATTAAAAAAATCATTAATTAAATGAAGCCTTTATGATCAAGTTGATGTTGCTTTGGGTCACATTTAAAAAGCACCTTCTGGCCGGGTGCGGTGGCTCCCGCCTATAATTCCAGCACTTTGGGAGGCTGAGGTGAGAGGATTGCTTGAGCCCAGGGGTTTGAGATCAGCCTGAGCAATTTGGCAAGAACTCGTCTCTACAATAAACCACAAAAATTAGCCGGGTATGGTGGCATACGTCTCTAGTTCCAGCTACTTAGAAGGCTGAGGCGGAAGGATCACCTGAGCCCATCAGGTTGAGGCTGCAGGGCTGTGAGCATGCCCCTGCACTCCAGTCTGGGTGACAGAGTGAGACTCCAACTCAAAATATAAATAAATAAAACAAACAAAAATAAAAATCACCTTCTGATGTCACCAGGGTTCGTTTGATCAGGAGAATCTGGGTTAGAGTCCCCCGACTTGATGTCACAGTAGGTCCAATACAAAGCAAACACCCTGTGTTATATGACAGGGATACAAGGGAGTTTAGAGGGACATCTATGGACCTGCTCTGACATCAAGCCTGAAGGACACACTTGGCCTCGCTCACACAGTCTGTGACAGCCATTTTCAATTACGAACGCCCACTCCATAGTGGGGGCATTTTCTGGTGGATTTTATTATCAACAGCAGCCATAATGATTACACAGAGTTCTCTGAGAGCACATTTTTAAAAGATGTGATTTACAGGCAAGTATTTTATGTTAGGAATAGACATAAAAAATACTGAGTATAAAACTTTCATTTTATCATTCAAAGTTAGAATAGAAGCAAATACCACCAAGCCAAAGATTTAGGGTGACCATCTGAGTATGCAATGACAAATTAATAGCTTCATGGAAAATTCCATTTCATTAAAAACAGTCACGTCCTGTAATCAAGTGAAAGGGCCATTGAGTCTGGCCTCCTCGCTGCAGCCAAGCACCTTCGCTCACACAATCCCGTTCTCTCTGGCCGGGAGCTGCGTAGGGTCTAGCCCAACCTTCCTCATGGACACGGCGACATCAAATAAGTAGTCGTAGCACTCGCACCTGCGGCAGAAAAGCAGGAGCTGGAAGGCATGGCCCCTCGCTGCTGACCGCCAGCTGCCCAGGACAGCGCCCCTCAGCCCCGGCCCTATGGTCTCACCCTGCCCTCCACATTGCCAAAGCCTGGGAAGGAACCACACAGCCATGCCTTATGCTTCTCAGGAGCATGAGGGTGTCTGAGACGCATTCCTCACGTGGATTTACCCACGCTTTGAAACAAACGTGCGTGACCTGGGGTCTGCGCCTCTGGCCTGGGGTTTGGCCTCCGTATGCAAGCCCAAAGAGCCTGGACTCACAACGGCTCAGCCAGCAAGCACTCCTCGGTGGGGGACGCACGAAGGGCTGTGTAAATGTGCGCCGACTGACCCTGCCAGAAGCAGGCTTGGTTCTAGCCCTTCACCTCTGGAGCCCCACCCCGGTCCCGCGCACTCTGGGATCCACTTACATGGTCTTGGCCTTCTCCCACGTCTCCCCCCACACGTACACCCCGTGTCGTCTGACCAGCACTGCACAGGAGTCTGGGTACTCGTCCATGGCTCGGGCCATGCGGGCCTTGAGGTCTCTCTCCTCAGGCGTGTTCTCAACGATGGGCACCACTAACATGTCATCGTATCTGGAAGAAGAAACAAGCCGTTTTCCGTGAAGACAAAGGCACTCTTATGTCTGCAATGCGGAATTTTTTAAGCAGCCCGTGAGACAGTCTCTTCCGTCTGCACAGCCACTCCAAGTGCTGAGCAAGCTGTTGCATGCTGCTCTGTGTATCTTGCATAAATGTCTGTATCAAAAGATACTTTGGGAATCTGGCAGGTATTGTTCTACTCCTAAGCATAAGTGGTAGAAATGTGTACAGCACACCAAAACCTCACAAAGAAGCCATCAAGATCATACAAGTATTTCCTTGAAGCAGGGACAAGCACAAGACTTTTAACAGGATATGGGAAATGACAGATTTCAGAATCAGAAGCGTAGAAAGGATTAAAGCCTGAACTACATATTAAGCGAGAGTTTCCCAACAGCCCTAAATCATCGTGTTCCACCTCTGCAGGACCCCACAGTGTTTTGGGCAGGTAAACCAATAAAGAGTGTGGTTTGTGGCACCAGGACAGTGAGAACCTTCCAGAATCACTACTAACAGTATGATGGTACTTTCAGAACATCCCCGAGTCTACAGAATGAGACTTGACTTCCACCTTGCTCCCAGGAAATACACGCGATGAAACCCGCACGTGCTATAAGGCAAACACATAACTTAGCCCCTGTGAAACTACGTCTGTTCTCGAGGTCACTGATAGCAGATCGGAACTCAGACGCGTTTTCCTTTTCACAGGAGCTTCTCCCGCACTGCTGAACTAGCACCTGCTGGTCCTGGCTCCACAGTGTGGAACGTGTCCGACGCTTGCTAATGCACTCGGAAGCTGCTCCTGCGGGTGAGCGAGTCCCTGGGCCCAGGAGGACGAGGGGCCCATCATCCCAGCTCAGTGAGATGGAGGTGCTTACAGAATGCCCAGACACGGGGGTGAAGGGTCGAGTCGCCAGTCCCAAACGCTTCCTAACACTGGGAAATACTGTTAGGAATATTTAGAAATACTGCCGGGTGCAAAACAGTTTCACAGAAAAGTAAGACCCGGAAGCTCATTCAAGCCGACCTTCCCATGTTATAGGAGGGACATGGTCTTGACCAGCTCACCGAGGAACAGAGGCAAGGGAGTTCTTGGACTGCTGTCCCCTGCAGGCTTGCAGTCCCCCAGGGAGGATGGCCCATTAACTTCAATCCCCGGAGGATCCTGCACCAGTGGGTGTGCCACGCTTCTGTTGACCAGGACCATGGAGACACGGTGGCCCACAAGATGATGGTGGAGCTGAATGATCCCGCCACCTGGGGCCTCACGGCCTCCTCAGAGCTGGGCGCCCTCCATGTGTGGAGCTCACGGTGCAGACAGCCGACCCTGCTGCCAGGCATGAGGGAGTCCAGCATAGACAGTCACGCACGGCGTGTGCCTCCTGGTCACTACCGTCCCAACTGCATGTCACAGTATGCATCTAGGAAACCAGACTCTTCATCACCAAAAGAGGCATGTGCGCCTTCTCCTCAGGTGTTCCTGGAGGCAGTGACGGCTCTGTGTGCATTACTGCCCCCAAGACCTTCCACAAGACGTGGTGGTCTCGGCTAATGGGCATCTGTGCCTCCATTTTTAATAAAAAATATTTAAAAAGTAAAAAAAAAAAAAAAAGTGAAAATTTTAAAAAAGAAAATGGTTATGAAATACAGACATAAAGAAAATATTTTTGTACAGCTATGCAATATGTGTGGGTTTTTTGTTTTTTTTTTTGAGTCAGAGTCTCACTCTGTCACTCAGGATGGAGTGCAGAGACATACTGCTGATGGCCACCACAGCCTCGACCTTCTGGACTCAGGCGATCCTTCTGCCTCAGCTTCCCAAATAGCTGGAGCCACAGGTGCACACCACTACACCTAGCTAATTTTTTGACTTACTGTAGAGACAAGGTCTCGCCAAGTTGCCCAGGCTGGTCTTAAACTCCTAAGCTCAGGCAATACTTTCATCTCAGCCTCTCAAAGTGCTGGGATTACAGGCATGAGTCCCTGTGCCTGGCTTACAACATGTGTTTTAACACATAATTATAAGAATCAAAAGTAAAACAAAAAATTAAAGCATCTATAAAATTACAGTGAAGTAAGCCAAGTCGGTGCATTACAAGAAAGAAGAGTGTTTCATACGTTCAATGCAGCCTGGGTATCCCGGGTCCACAGAGCCCACAGTGGTACAGTGGCGGCGAGGCCTTTGCCCCACCTCTCTGATGCCCCAAGCAGTGTCTAGCCGCGTACAACGCCCGCGGTGAGGCCCCAGGGGCCAGAGTACCACTGTGACTTTCACGCCGCAGCCGACCCCCATCTGCTCAGACACACAAATCCTTGCTGCACGTGTGGCCACAGTAGTGTGGCCATGGTATTCAGCAGAGCCACATGCTGTGTGACTCGTGGCTGGGGGCAGTGGCACCACCACACGGCCGGGTGGGCAGGGCACTTGGGGACACGTCCACAACGAGACTCCCCATGGCACACTTTTCAGAATGGTCCCGCCACCAAGTGACACATGGCTGCACTTTAAAACTGCAGTGTTTTCAAGGACAAGTCTTTAAAAAAGGAGAGTGTTAAACTCCATCCTCTCTTCACCCAGTTTTCTCTCCAAATCCAGACAAAGCCCGCTGCCTCCTGCTGTGACAGGGACGCTGTCAAGCCCTCGCCCGCGAGGCTCTAAAGGAACTGAACACGGTGCTCACGCGAGCTTTACTTGCCACTTGCTGAAGCTGCAAGCACTCACCTCCAGGGTGCGCAACAGCAGCGTCTGTCCACCTGCCGTCCTCCCTCCGCACCTCTGCCTCCCCTTTCCCGCTCTCAAGAAAATCGGTTCTTTCCTCACCAAAGCAGCCACGTCCCCCTGTGACCGGCAGTGCCCTGACGTCTCCATCCAGCCCAGAACGGAAAGGTGCCCTCGGCCACACTTCCCTGCGCATGGGCACGTCCCAGAATTCAAATATTTGGCTTTTGTATGCAGGTGTCACAGTGCCGAAGAGCGCTCCAGGCACACAATGGCTATCAACTGAAATCAAACCACACTGACTTCCCAGCGTGCTAGTTTAAACACGCACAGCCTGCGACATGCAGCAACAACAGAATTTGCAGCAGGAGCACTTGGTGAGACTGGCGCCGTCCTCTAAACAAGGTGTGGAGGCACTGGGCCCTCCGAGATACCGAGAGGCAAAGGCCCAGCCCAGGAACATGCATCAACGCCCCGAGATGCTGTCCTCATGCCTAAGTACCAGGATCACGTGCCCCCATGGTCCAGGGCCACGAGGGGTTCCTGCCATGTGTGGGCGGGTGGGTGTCTTTAAACCTACCCAGAAGGCCACTCTTCTATACTCACCATCCACGTCACCTTCCACCCCAAAACACTACAATGAGGTAGTTTACTTCATCAAATGCTGAGGAAACTTATCCATAGGAAAACATTCCTGAAACGCAGACTTGAGTCAACACGGAGCATAAGCCTCAGTCACGGCTCAGCCTCCTGGACGCATGGAGGTGAGATGGGCCATGGCCTCGCTCGGGAACGAGAACTCCCCCACAACAGCTCGGTTCACTCAACATACGTTGTGGCATCACTCAGCACAGGCCCCACACGTCTGCTGCCCACACAGGCCTGGCCTCTCACGTGTCTCCATGCCTTCTGGGGGGTCCATACCTATAGTGGCCGCCCGAGGTGCACTTCCTGATCCCCTTGATCATCTCCTGGTGTGTGATTTTGAACTCGCGTCCAGGAAAGAGAAGCGTGGCCAAGACAGCAGCCTTCGAGTGGGTGTGGATTACTGCGCCAGCTCCTGGGGGGTGGGAGGCCACATGCTCATGAACACCGAATCGCACCTTCCCAAGACATACACACGTGCACCCTCTTGGTCCACACAAGTCCACGTGTGGGCATGGCCTCCCTCTCCCAACATGGAATAAGAAGACGGCAGGTGGGAGGGCCAGCGAAGCAGTGACAGGCCCTCCTCACAGGCCAGCGCCATCAAGGCTTTGTACATAGCAGGCACTCAAGCAATGTCAGCCCAAGTGGCAAGCTCCATACCCAAGGGAGCTACCCCATCGGTGCCCCTCAGGTGAGCCCTGCTCTGCGTACCCCTCATGGTGTAGGCATTCATGAAGAGAGGCGTGCACTGGCTTTTCTTCAGCATTTTGGATGGCGGAGGCCCACTGATGTCCTTCTCATGGATGTCACACACGAACATGTCTTCAGGCTGTGTACGGGGAGAAGAGAGGCTCCCTCATGAGATATGCTCCCATCTTGTGTAAGCACACATGGTACACACACACACACACACAGAGCTAAATATGTGTGTATATTTAACTCACATTTAAGATATCCATATAACTACAGTTTCTCAAGATATTTGAACAATTTTGAAACACAAAAATCATTTTCTACCATGAATATTCTCAAAGTCCAAATAATCATCTTCCTTTAGAACTGGAAGAAAAAATAGATATGCAACATTAACATGTCTGTGATGACACAGCAGCCGTTTTGGGCATTTAGCTTCTCAGCTTTGTTCTGTAATTTCACAACAGTATTTCGGAGAGACTACTGCAGGAACCAACATTCCCAGAAGGGTGTTGCAATCTTTTTTCACATTGCCCAAAATAAGAGCAAAAATGTAGAGTGAAATTGTCTCATCCCCCAAGACGCTTAACTGACACACAAAAGGGTTCATCTCAGTACTCTCCTTAAGGCTTTGAGGAATGAGAGACTGACAGGTGTTCTTGGTAATGCCTGTGTATTCCTGACAGGTAACTTTCACTTGTCAGGGTTTATCACACACTACAATACAAATGCTCGATTAATAAAACAGTGCTTCTTTCTTCTTGCCTTAGACAGAAGTTAAATTGCATGTGTCTCTTTTGCCTGGATTTGGGTATTGTTTCAGCATTAATAGAGTGAGGCCTCTCAAACTCGGAACAAAGTTTCATCATGGGGAACTAGAAGAGCTCGGGATTAGGAGATGTGAACCATGGTCTGTCCGTGGCCGTCAACCCAAGGACCCCACTAGCCTGATAAAAAGTGTCATGAGAGTCGGGCTCGGTGGCTCAACCTGTAATCCCGCGCCTTTGGGAGGCTGAGGTGAGTGG